TTGAAAAGTGTACTTTAGAGGAGTGGTCTGCAACCTCAACCCCCACAACTCCTCACCTGCAGTGGCATTAGATTTTCATAGGAGCATAAACTCTATTGTGAACTGCACTTGTGAGGGATCTGGGTTGCATGCTCCGTATGAGAATCTAATGCCTGATGACCTGTCACTGTCTCCCATCACCCCAGATGGGACCGTCTAGTTGCAGGAAAACAATCTCAGGGCTCCTACTGATTCTACATTATGATTAGTTGTATAATTATTTCATTGTACATTACAATGTAATAATAACAAAGTGTACAATAAGTGTAATGAGCTTGAATCATCTCAAATCTATCCCCCCACCCCTACCCCAGTGCCTGGAAAAATTGTCTTCCATGAAACCGGTCCCTGGTGCCAAAAAGGTTGGGGACCACTGCTCTAGAGGCAAGAATATGAGCACTTTGTTTTTTCTGTTGCTAAGACCCACCGCTGATTTGAAACCTTCTGAGCTAAGGGTCACTACAAACTAGGAACAGTTGCACTTGCTACTAACCAATTTAATTTGGACTATCTCAGCCAGCCTTATTGAATTCTCTGCAAACCCCCAGAGGCAGAAAGGTACTGCTGTACTTAACTGTTCAATAAGGTTTACTTTCAGGCCTCACTGGCGCAGCCTGGTTGTACATTCAGCATCATCTAGTTTAAACATATTGAGCAATCAATTTAAACTTGTTATTGTCATTGGGGTTTGAAAATTTAATAAGCAATTACCTGAACACATTCCTTTATGTTTTTAATTTCTACTGAGATGTTGTTCCATTTTCAGGCCTAAAGCAATCATGCCCTCCAGAATGTTTAATTGAATGAGTCCATAATGCAAGCCTTTTTCTTAACTGTATTTTCCTAGTGTGATTTATAAAGCTGAATGAAGTAGTGTCTTCATAAAAAGGGAGCCAAGAGCAAGTGAAAATTTCAAAGATCTGACATGAATGAATGACAACACTCTTTTTTTTATGTGAAGGAAGCTAGCTGACCCATTATCTCCTTAATACATCGGTACCTTTCCTATAGGGTAAATCTAAAATGCATATACAGAAGCAATGCTGTAGAATTGTATATATATTGTTTTTAATCCTGCCACATGAAGTGAAGTGGTGGTCATTCATTTATAGAAGTATTTGTTTCCTTAAAAAAAAAAAATGAAAATTGAGTAGTTTATTTTATCTAATAATTGTTTTTTCTCATTTTGTGTCTAAAACAGGGTCAGCAAACTTTTTCTGTAAAGGGTCAGATGGTAAATATTTTAGGATTACAACATATGGTCCTTGTCTCAACTACTCAACTCTGCAGTTTTAGGGAAAAAGCAACCATACATGATACATGAATGAATGGGTATGGCTGTGTTCCAATGAAGCCATTGGAACACAATGAGCTAAATCAGGCAGCAGGCTAGATTTAGCTCACCGGCTATAGTTTGCTAATCTCTGGCTTAGAATATTTAATCGAAAAAAATACGTGTGTGTGTGTGTGTGTGTGTGTTTGTGTGTGTGTGTGTTTTGTTTGGTTGGTTGGTTGGGGTTTGTGTTGTTAGTTTGTTTACTTATTTGTTTGTTCTGCCAAACACATGAATTTTTTTAGAGGTTCCCTTAGTAGGTTTTCTTTCATCTGTCCCATAAATGCTGATATTTCAAAGGATTTTTTTATTTACTTCTTTTAGGGGTAATACATTTTTAAGCCATCCCCATGACTTCACTTATCATTTAAGAAATGATGTCCCACGGCTTCATTGGGAACTATGGCTAAACATCATCCTGATTTGATCTTTTGCCACAAGCAGGCTGGTGTTGCCATAGAAGACTGTGTGATTTGTGACTCCTATGAGCATCCCTGCACTCTGGTGCACATACGTGATGAATGTAACTATGGATCTTACCAGGGGCACTGTGTGATCTGTGGAGGCCCTGAAGTCTCTGATGCCTATTATTGTAAGGAGTGTACCATTTAGAAAAAGGACAGAGATGGCTGCCCAAAGGTTGTTAATTTGGGGAGCTCTAAGACACATCTCTCCTATGAATACAAAAAAATACAGCTTCAAGAAGAGGTGAATGGTCGGTGGCCATTCCCCCCACATCAGGCTGCTCAGCTGCCAGAAAAGATGCCTACTACTACCAGAAGAAAGGGAGCAGAGCCCAGAGAATCACCAGGAGTGCCTGCTGGTGTACTGGCAGCTTGCCATTCTCCTCTCACCCAGACATGTGGTATGGATGGAAAAGGATTCTTCACAGAGCACTCTGGCACTCTGTATCAGAGAAAAACTGATACATTAGTGAATAGTGTTTCTTCAATTTGAGAAGCAAAGATCTTCTCTCCATATTGATATGTTCTCCCCCAACCAAGATCTTCTAAAAGGAAATAATATTTTAGTCTTCTGCTTGATAAGTTGACTGTGAAGCTACACCCAGTAAAAAACATGTTCTTGCAGCAGCTCTGGCGGCAGCTGTCCTTGAGGAACCTTCCATGTGTGGTGGGAAGCTATCAGAACAAGAAATGCAGGCATTTACTCTTTAAACACTTGTGCTAGTTTTAATGTTATTTTGTTCTGAGAAATTGGAAACCTTTTCTGTTGCTATTATATTAATAAAGTTGGTGCTTATTTTCTGGTAAAAAAAAAATTAAATAAATAAAATTAAAAAAGAAATGATGTCTCCCAAATTTTACCTTTAGTCCATAGCTTTCTTCTAAATGCCAGAACATCACACCTAATGGTGTATCTTCTCCCCAGAAGCCCAACTATAGACATATTACAGATACATCAATCTATGTCCAAATTAGAACATGTTTTCTTTCCTATCAGCTTTCCATGTATCCTACCAAGCCATAGGAATATAACTCCTCCCTGAAGTACTCTAATTCTTTCCTTTCCTTCCAATTCGATATCAATTGTTCCCAGTTTCATCTCCTAACTGGCTCTAAACTCCATAGTTTCCTCACCATCTCCACAGTCTCTGCCAAAAATTTTTGTCTCCTTCCTGAAATATCATTAAGAATATATGCATAGATCCCCCATTCTCCAGTATTTTTTCTTTTCAAAAGCACACCACACTGCTGTTGCTTATTTTTCTAAAATGTCACTTTTTGACTGAATATCTACAATTATTTCTTTTCCCTACCAAAAGATCAACACAGAATAAAAAGCTTTTCCAATACCATCCTATCTACCCTGCCTTACTTCCCTTCACCTCTACCAGTGCTATCCCACTTGCCCCAGGATTTCATGCAGAGGTCATACTGGATAATATCTCTCCTTTCTTAGAGAAACGTTGAATGATTATACATTCAATATCACTGGACATTTTTGCACACTAGATTATGTCCTTTCCATGTTCTACATACTATGCCAGATTCTGAGCATATAAATATGAAAAAGACAAAGAGCTTACAAGCTTACAGTATAGCTGGGACAACCAAATCAAACACATAATGATAATATAAAGAGATAATATGAGAAGGAGCACAGTATCGTGGTTTAAACATGGACCATGGAATTGCATTATCTGAATTCACATTCCAGTGTTCCTGTTGGCTGAGGGACATTTGGCAGGTTCCTTAATGTCACAGTCCATTTGGGCTGCTATAACAAAATGTCATAGACTGGGTAATTGATAAACAATAGAAATGTATTTCTTACAGTTCAGGATGCTGAGAAATCTAAGATCAAAGTGCCAGCAGATTTGGTGTCAAGTGAGGGATTGCTCTCTGCATCAAAGACAGTGTCTTCTAGCTCTGTCCTCACATGATGGAAGAGCAAACAGGGATCTCTGAGGACTCTTTTAAAACGCACTAATTTCATTCTTAGAGTGGAGCTCTCATGAACAAATCACCTTCCAAAGGCACCACCTTTTGCTACCATCCCCTTGGTGATTAGGTTTCAACATACGAATTTGGAGGGATACAAATATTCAAGACCTAGAAACTGGCTTCTCTGTGTTTTATCAATAGATAATTCATCAGCAAAATAATGGCATAAAAAAACCTATCTTAGGGGATATTGCAATGATTAAAGGAGTAAATAATTTGCCAATTCCTTGGAACAATGTCTAGCATAGGAAGCACTATAAAATATAGACAGATAAATAGATATAGGTATATATAAATGATATAAACCTTTATAAAATATATGTGTATGATGTATATCCATAAATATGTATATACTGCTTTATTAGGCTGTTCTTGCATGGCTATAAATACCTGAGACTGTATAATTTATAAAGAAGAGAGGTTTAATTGGCTCACAGTTCTGCAGGCATTACAGGAAGCATGGTGCTAGCATCTGCTTGGCTTCAGGTGAAGCCTCAGGGAGTTTTCAATTATGGCAGAAGGTAATGTTCAAGCAGGCACATTACATGACAAAAGCCAGAGCAAGTAAGAGAGTAGGGGAACAAGGTGCCACACACTTCTAAACAACCAGACCTCATACGAATTTCCTATCAGGAAAATAGCACCAAGCCATGAGGGATCTGTCCCCATGACCAAAATACCTCACACCAGGCATAACTTCCAGCATGGGGGACTCTTATTCAACATAAAATTTGAGTGGGGACAAATATCCAAACTGTATCAATTGCATATATGTGTGTATATGTATATAAATTAGTATTATTAGTTAGTCAATAATAGAAAAACTGGCAAGGAAGCAAATAATTATACATACAGAGTGAGGAAACATTGAAGAAAGAAGGCATTTCCATGGAACTTGGAAAATGAGGTGACAATTAAGAAGGAGAATCAGGCTTTAAAGCCAAGTTAGTCTGTCTCGAAAGTTCGTTTTATACTGGTGTGTTCTAAGAATCATGTTTATATTAGTCTTTTATCGCAGAATTTTTATATAAAAGTTCCTGTGCATATTGTTTAGTTTTTACACAAACTCTAGCCTTTAATGACTACAAGAGTTCATGATTATGAATCTCTAAGCCTTTCTTTATGTCAATTACCTTTCCTTTCATGTCATTTTTTATGTCTAGAGGCAACTGTGATAGAGCGAAAAGGAGGTTTTAATCAGAAGTTTTAAGTCACAAATCCAGATTTCTCTATGTCATGGGGCAAGTTACTTTAACTCTGGTGAGACTTTTCTTATGCATAAAATGGAGATGGGGGTACTTTACTTACAGCACATAGAAAAGGATTAAAGCAGTCACTCACTGCCTGGAAAAACACCTGTTTTCAAATTCCACCCGTCCTTTCAGACCCATCTCAAGCTCACTAACTTCTACAAAACTTTCCTGCCCATTGAAAATCAGTGATCACCCATTATTATAAACTTAAATCACTGTCTGTATCACTGAGGCAGTTCTTGATTATGAGACTTTTTCCTTTTATCATATCACTGTGTTACTATTTAATAGTTAATATGCATGTAATTTATTTACCCAAGTGGATCCAAAACCTTTGGTTGATATAGTATATTATACAGTGTATATATTCGTAATAACACTGTTTCAAAGACTGTGCTAAGCACACAGTGGGGTTAATAGATATTGATTAATAATAAATAAAAAAATAAACTGAGAAAAGGGAAAGTAAAACCAAATGTAATCTTAAAACAAGTAATGGAACACATACATTGTGCTAAAATAATTTTACATATACCTTCATTATTACACTATCTGTAACAAGGTAAATTGTTACAGATAACAATTTGGTTTATAGAAAACTTTGGTCACTAGGTTAATTCTGAAATAAAAGGTGGATGAGCACCTACTGGGTGCTAGGGCTGAGGCTTACAGGAGAGCATGAGACAACAGGTTGTTTCCTTCATGGAAAATGAAATGCCTGAGATGACTTCAGCCTCAGCCCAGAGCACATCTTTTACATTAAATTTGCTCTTCATCAGCAAGACTGAGGATCTGGAAGTCTAACAAAATGTATAACACACAGTAGGCACTTGGTTAATGAAGGTATTTGGCACATGTTGAAAGAGGGAAATTAGAAATTATAGAACAACATAATAATCTTAGGATATAGAGATTAAAGTGGAGCTGGGTAGAAAATTAAACTTAAGCAATATCCTCTAAAAGAGTATGACTCAGAGAAAAAAAATTCACATAGTAAAGACAGGAAAATCAAAAGTGCAGAGCTAGAGAAGACTTTACCAGCAAGAAATCTTAACAAACGTTTTTCATGTATTTTCATGGCATTTGTTAAGTTGTATATAAATGCTATGACCATACTTTCAAATTTTAACTATGCACACCCTCTCCTTCAAACACTTCCTTATAAACCCAAGTCTTATTCTCACATTAGTATTTTGATAAAGTAGAAATTTTTATTTTTCTTCCCTTGATGCACTCTAATTTTAAAGAAAGCAGAAATCACATGTCTGACATACATACAGACACATAAATATGCTTTGTCTTTAGAAGAAAAGAAGGAAAATTAACATTTATTTAGTCTAATTGTGAACCTAGTATTTATACTTCCTATTTGGATAGACAGTATATAGTTGTGCTTTTAACTCATATACATGGCTAAGTGGTCCACAGACTGAACGGTGACTAGGGTTTCAGTGATTTTGAAATAGTTGTATTTTATTAGCCCTTGGAATGACAATAGTGCTTAAATATATACAGTTTTTAAAAGCCCAGAACTTTTTAGTATTAAAAAAAGCCCTGTACTCAACTTATTTTTAAAATATGGACTAAAATACTCAAAACATAAAATGAACTTAGCTCTTCTTTTGCCTTTTAATCATTTGAGGCAGCAAATTAATCCTGATTAAGTTGAACATCTTTCATTTTCAGTATTCATTTTCTATAAGCAATCCTAGTTTAAATGCTTTGCAGCCTAAAGAAATTTAATTTTATTGCCTAATTTTGGGATGATAAAAAATGGGTGAAGGAGGTAATAATCACAACTCTAAGTGGTACATGACATTCCTTATGCAAACAGGCTTTATTTACTTGCCTTCTTAAAATTATAAAGTAATTTCAATAAACTGTGTCTATACAAATGCAGAGAGCATCCTAAAGAGAGGATTTCATGTTAATGTATGCCAGATACAATAATTCTTTATTTTGTACATTCTAATTCTCTCTCTCTCTTTCTCTTTCTCTCTCTCTCTCTCTGTCTCTCTCTCTCTCTCTCATGTGCTGGAAACACCACTAGGAAGAGGAAAATATAGACTTTCTTAGACTTCAAATTAAAAAAAAAAAAAACTCAATGAATTGTCTTGAGTATCTTAAATATTAACCCTTCTACTAAGTTTTGTTTTTAAATCTAAAGTGCATGTTGCATTAAAAGGCAAATATTGTATTCACTGACTGATTGCAACAAATACAATAGCTCTTCTTATCTTTCTCATTTCTGTGTTCTTTCCATTACCTTGCTACTTTAGATAGTTGTACTGGGGGTGGGGTCAGTGAGAAGGGGTGATCAATTAGATGAACAGGTTCTATTACTTTGTGATTAATAGACGATTTTATATTGTTAGATATAAACAATAATAAGTCAGGGTCAGCACAGTATTTATAAGATGGGGAACAGAAGGAAAATTGTTTATGTAACAGGTCACGGACTTGAAAAAGCTTTTATTGTCTTGGCAGGCTTGATTTCATCGCCTTGTCCTCCTGAGCCAGAGAGAGGAGCTGTCCAAATTATAGATATGAAGGCTAAAAAGTACTTACAACCTAGGTCTACCATTCCTGCAATGCTATTTGTGACAAGCTGGCATTCTGGAAATGCCTCTTTCAACAATAAGAAAGACATTATCCACAGATTCAAACCTTCTCTCAAAGCCTACTTTGTTTCCCGTGTGTGCTGAGCAATGTTGGGCAAGCAAGTCTAGGCCCACCTACTGTTTGCTTCACCTCTAGCCCATCTCCATGCCTGATTACCCCTATAATAAATCATTTTCCTCCAACATAAAGCTCCAAAAAGACTGAAAGCCATTTCTTTTTACTACTCCTTAAGTGGTATGTATTTTTCTCTACTTGCCCAGTTGAAATAGCTGTAATATACCCCAGAGGGTATTGTTTCTGTCAAGCTCAGAGAAGCAGCAGCACCGCACTGTGAGGTGCATCAGTACTGATGCAGGCAGGTTCAAGAGCCCTGCAGACTTCCAGAGACCTGCCATCCAAATGAGAGAGCAGAGTACCTGTGAAGGACAATGCTGTTCAAAGGGAGCTAAAAAGCTTGAATTAATGGTAGAGGAACCGCGGGAGGTGATTGAAAGGCAAAGATGACTCTACCACAGAAAGGAGATTCCCCAGTACCCAACAAATTGTTCCTGCTTGGAAGTGAGGAATGTTGTAAAGACATTCCATGACTTATCCTTTCAATAACATGGATATGAATTAAACTTTTTTTTCCAATAACACTAGAGGAAAGCTAAAGAGTAGACTGTTGCTCTGGCTCTTAAAGCCCTTGTTCTAATTGCTTTCCAGGTAATCCAAATTATGTACTTATGTACCATCAAATATCTGTGTACTTCTTTCTTCTCCAGGCATGCCTTGTGATTGGGCTAATCATGAACATATACTGGCATCCATTTAGAAGAACTAAAATTATTTTCCTCTTCAACAAAGAAACATCTGTGCCAACAAGAAAACAGAAGAAGGAGGTGGAGGAGGAGGGAGGGGAGGGAGAAGGGGGAGAGGGAGAAATAAAAAGCTTGAAGTCTCCCTGACTTGCAAAAACAAACAGTACAGAGTGAGGCTGAGCAACTCTGTGTAGGGAGAAACTCCTGTAATCAGAGCCAGGAACTCTCCAATGGGAGAACTCAACAGTAGTTGTATTTAAAAAAAAAAAAAAAGAAAGAAAGATTAAAAAGGAAAAAGACAAAGAAAAGGTATAATTACAGATGGGGGAAATGTGGACTAAAATACTGCCATGAGAAGCCTAGAGACTGGTATTCTTTAAGCATCTTTCAAGTTGTTCCTTGCTTTAAGCTGCATGGACCTGTCAAGAGACAGAATGGGGATTTGGCTCTTTAGGTGAACAAAATGTCAGATGCATGCACATCTGTGTCCCTACATGAATAAAGTTAGCAGATGGATACAACTGGCCCTGCAGATATAGCATTTTATGCTTGTCCACACAGGTCTCACCAGCTCAACCCACACTCAGCAGCTTCAAATCCGTGGCATGATAATCAACGTCACGTCAAAATTGTGCTATAGAACTTGTGTTGTATTATCTGCTTACATTTAATGCCTTCAGATCTCAGCATGTCTGTGAGAGTTTGCATAACTCATGTAAAGGTTCTTTCCGATCCCTTAAAGTAAATAGAAGTTATGAAGGGATGAAATTTTACTAATCTGTATTTCCGCTCTGTAATCTCACTGGCAGGCATTTCGTCACTGCATGCATGCTTTCCTAAAAAGAAAGTATTTTCTAACCAAGTACAGCTCTTTTAATGACCATGAAGCAGTCTTTTATTCTGAAATAGAACCAAAATAAACACCTTACTTAATGCTCACACATTAAAATTCCAGAGTATTAGTCTTAACCATCTCCCATAGTTGAATGCTAAGCTCCTTCCATTAAAATGTGTCTAATCCTCAGATTTTGTTTTGCAAGATTCTGAACTGAGCCATGAAAAACTTTCTAGGAACATCAATATTCTCTTCTTCCTGTGCAACTTCCACTGCCATGGATAACTAACTGTAAATAACATAAGAGGAAGCTTGCAGCACATGCCACCTTCTCTCTGGGACCTAAGATGCATATCAGGAAAAGAGATTAAGATGAAAAGAGGGCGTTGACTCAAAAGGAAATGACAGGGTCTTTACAAACACGTTTTCATTAGAACAAGGGTTCCTCTGATTAACCTGGCCCTGAGTCTTTGCTATATAGCACAAGGTTGCAAAAATGAACAAAACCCTTGTGGGAGCTCAGAAGGAATAAACTGAGCTAAACATATTGCATTTTTCTTTATTATATATATGTTAGTAAGGACATCATAGACATTATTAAGTAGTCAAAGAACCAAGGAGAATAACTTGATTCTCTGCTGCTCCAGCTCACTATTGGAAAAAAAAAAAAAAAAAAAAAAAAAACGGGGGAGATGAAACAAAAGATATAGAAAGAGTGAGGAAGATGATTATAGTTCACTGTAGAAAGAGTTTTCTGACAACCACAGCCAACTGTCCAACAGTGAAATCAGCACCTTAGGTGAACTGGCCATTACAAAGTTTGAAGTTCAGGCAGAGGTCCATCATTCAGGAATACCCTTTGAGCAGTTGCTGCCATGGGTAAAGACTACGATAAAGTCTTATGCATTCTATAATAACTCATAGCAGTGGAAACTTCTCTACATATTCCTTACACCTTCAAAATGACCTCCATTTCACCAATTTAATACTCACTACCATGACTCAAGTAATAGCCACAAAATTATCTAATCTTGTAACAACAGTGAAGTTAATTCAATATAATGTCAATAGTTTCAATTACTTAATTGAGATAAGAACAGCAGCTCATGATACAACCCTCAATGTAGTTCTCTCCGTTAGAGAATATAAAAGTATTTTTCCAAAGAAAAACTTGAGAAAACATAGCAGCCTTCCAGTTTGAAAACTAGTAGTAAAGATGTAACACACGTGGAGCACCAGATGTCCCAGTGTGGTCTGGTTAATTGAAAGCTATAATCCCTACATGTACAATCAGCCTCACACATGGCCTGTTAATTCAATTGTCCTGTTGGTTTGCCCATTCATGTTCCTGAAGCATTTTGTATTCCTTTTTCCTTTGCTCAAATTTGCCTCTCGCCTGGCAATTAAATCAGTTTTTTTTAAAATCTGTCTCAAAGGGCATGCAGATGTATGCCCATATAAGTTGGGTCTTCAAATAAAGAATGGCCTGAAAAATTTTCAGAATTGTCTATGTGTATGTTTCTTTAATCTGTGAAAGATGGAGCAGACTTGATATATAATTGATAATATCCCTGTGTTGAAAGTAGAATCTTCCCACTTATAGAAGGTCAAATTTCTGGAAACTTCAACACAATCATCAATTAAAAGGAATCTAAGAATAAACTAAACATATCCAGGCAAACACATACACATGTGTGCATGCACACACATACACAGGCACACAGAACTCTTGAGTACCTGAAGATTTTGTGAGGACTCAAAAAGAGACCATTCATGTGATGTCATGGCTGAAGACTTAGTGTCTTATCTGAATTGTTGAAACTTTTAAATAAATGTGGTCATACATTGCTTAATGATAGGGATACATTCTGATAAATGTGTCATTTGGCTATTTTATTATTGTGTGAACATCATAGAGTGCACTTGTACAAACCTAGATGGCTTAGCCTACTACACACCTAGGCTATATGCTACTGCCTATTACTCCTAGACTAAAACCCATATTGCATGTTACTATGCTGAATATTGCTAGTCAATTATAACACATCATAAGTTTTTGTGTATAAACACAGAAAGTATATAATACAGTAAAAATAAAATATAATCTTATGAGACCACTGTCATATATATGGTCCATCACTGACCAAAATGTTATATGAGCACATGACTGAAACATGCTGATACCCTAGCCATGAGCAACTTAGAAGAAACAAGCTAGGCGAAGGTAGGAGAACAAGGGAGAGATACTGGAGGCAAACAGAAAAAGAAAGGCCAGAGAGAAGACAACTAACTACTTGATTTAGTTGGAGAAATAAACTAAATAGCATGAGCAAATCATAAAAATGCTATGTAGCTCAGAAAAACTGTGAATGTTCAATAACATTACAATAATCTGTTTGACAAGGATGACAATATTGAGCTAGTAAAACAACATGTGTCCTTTTCACTTGCCCCTTAGCAACAACTACCTTTTGAATCAATGGCATCAGTTGTTTCAAGGGGCAACAGTACTGAGCCAAGTTCAGAAGAGTCATTGCTTGGTTTGAAGTTTCAAAATGAATTTTTTTCAGGTTGAGTCAAGTATTTTCTTTTTTTGTTTGCTGGAATTGGGCTTTTTTGAAAGAGAAAGTGATTTTCTTAAAAACACAGGTATAAGATTTTTTTTTAATACAATGTCATGCCATGGGAGATTAAGATCAGAGAATTTCTTCTGTGAGTCACAGAACAAGGAAGAAGAAAGATGTGCTATGAGAACAGCTTTTAAAATAAATGAAAAAGGCTTGCCGGTGCTGGGAGAAATTGGACAAAAGAGAAGGGCAAAGTGTTTGATGTGAGTGATGTTGTCTGACTCTTGTCTTTCTCCAAACTCAGGTTAAACATTAGGGCTGAAGGAATATCCTAAAAACATGCAAATTGGTTTGAAAAAATGTAAAAACATTGTGTGCTGAGACCTTGCTTCCCTGGGCTACTGCAGGTCTCTTGGAGGATCTCCTGCAATGATGTTCTTGGTGCCCCACTCAGACCTCCTCAGATCTCTTTTGCTACTGCTCCTGTCCCCTAGATTTTGTGTGCTTTGTCACAATCTGTGCTCATTTGCCCTTCAGGGTTTTGTTCCTGTAATGAGCCAGAAGTGTATAGAAATTTACAATCCCTTCAAGGTGGTGAGGATCTAGGACACCAGGCAATAAAGAAGCACAAAGTTCAGTTTTCTTGCCTCAAGATGAAATAAATGCCAAGGTAAAATGTGTATGTCCTTTGGGATCAGTCTGAGCCTGGAGCTTCCCCTGAAGGTGCACTCTATTTTATTTCCTTTTTTTTCAATATTTTAATTATCCGCTCTCTTACCACTCTCTCCTGGGATCATTGTTTAAATAACCCACCTGTAGTCCAGTTCTTACTTCAAACCCGCTTCTGGGAAAACTAACTTAAGGCAATTGATACATGAAGTAGTCCTTCATGCAGGCCGTCTAAATGGGATTCTAGGTTTTGGATAACATGTAGGACAGGTATGAATGAGGATCATGTCACAGTGGCATGTGGAATGTTGATGAGCCCAGG